ACTCCACATCCAATTCCTGTTATGATCCGTCCGGCGTAAAGCATTTCAATATCCGTAGCGTAGCTAATGAGAAGCCATCCCAGAACGAATGGTATTGCGCACAACATGGTGGCAAACTTCCGACCAAACCTGTCCATCGCCGGACCACCGACAGAACATCCAAAAATAGCACCAATCGCAATTAACGACTATAAGTTGAAATAAAGGAAAGAGCTTAAAATCCAGGCAGAGCTGAGAGGATTGAACCAAGGTTATAGAGTCTAAATTTGCGTTTTAGAGAGACACTTCGACTTCAGATTCTCCAGACCATTCTCTTTACATCTCATTGTTGCATAATCAACAACCAATTTCTAACATAATTCTAGCTGTAGAGTATATTAGAATGCGGGAAAGCCAAAGTCATGTTTCGCCCCAAATTGTTCTACAAGATCGAAGGCTAAACGGTGCCAATAACCGAAAAAATTCGCTTGCTTTCTCTATCGCTGAAATCAAAGGAGCTTCGCGCAATGAACTTGAATAAGCAATGACAGATCGCTGGAAAACTAGAGAGAGGGAAAATGGCGAACAATAAGACTGACCATTCCCCTCAAACTGTCATCTTTATTTTTGGTTGATTCCGTTCCATTTTCTAGCAGTCCCTCTTAGAAGCCTGGAACTGGGCAACTGATTTAAGCAGTGACCTATTTCGGGGATGTTTGTCGGGGTCAGTCAGTTGATTGTCACGGGATGTGATTTTTCCTCACGTGCTTGTCACGTGCGAGTCTGCTTTGAGATGAAAACGATGAGGTATACTATATATTTATAGTTATCCCTTTTGATATTTTAGATTAGTTAGCTATTGGAACAGCCGAAGACTTATCTTTTGACAAATTTTCAGTTTGATAGGGTTCTTCGTCTTGTGATAGAGCTGGGGTGAATCTCTAAGTTTTGGCGTGACACGCTAATAAAATGGCGGCCGAAAGTGCTGTCGCGTGGGTTAAAGAGATGACCAATCCGTTAAGATTTCGCAATCTGATTAGTTCTCATATGACGATAAGTACTCATATACATTATTTTTATATAAAAAAAAAACTCGATGAGACATGTTTTTTTTGAGATTTTTGTGGTGGCGTGACAGTGAAAACCAGCAAAAGTTAAATGAATACATTTATTCGAGAAATCTTTTTAAATAAGCAATTCTTAAACTAAGCGACCTACAAAAATTTCGACGGTTATGCTGGGTTCAAGGCAAAATGATGACAATAAAGAAGTGAGTGATGCGTCATCCCCGTTTAGAAATTTGGGTTCCTGCGGTAAAGCCAGTTAGACGAGCTCCAATGGATCCACGCACGTGCAGCGAAGAAATTTTACCGTTTACACTGATGTACACTCAGCGATAAGGAGTTTGCTCATGCATATCGGTTCTCGTTAAATGATTTGTATAAGCTAGGGCTATTACAGCTGGCTCAAAGATGTTTGCAGGGTATTTCTCCGTTTTGAATCCAATAATAGTCTTAGAAGTATATGCCGGCATAAACAACGTACATTAGAAAATGACCCAAGATGTACAGCTATTGAAAATGGACCTCTGCCGTAAACTTATCTGCTACCAATCAATAGTGGGATACGCAAACACTGGGGAACTATAGAAAAATGGTTGTTCTAGAAATAGACTGAGAGGTAATCCTATGTAAATATTCAATTTCTCTGTTTTGAAAGTCAAACCAATAGGTTAACTGTTTTAGGATCATTGTAAATAGCTTACGTTCTAGCTTTTCAAGCATTTAAATGAAACGAGAAATATTATTTTTGAAAAAATGTTTACGGGATGCTATTTTTGCCTTTTTCATCCGTGTATGCTTCAACACAACCACAAAAGCTGTTACGTAATAGTGCAGCGCGCAATGTTAAAAGCGATTAAGAAAGGTAAGGTAGGTGAATTTAGCAATCAAGCCAAGTAGCTTGAGAATGAGGCGAACAAAATACCCTTAGCCTGCTATTTGAGTTTTACTAAGTTTTGGAAAAGCTAAAAAGGAGAACTAAAGACAAAGGTTCTCGTAACACGAAAAGTGACTGAAAGATTCTGGCACGTGCGTGACAAAAAGCAATCCACTGGAAATTTACACTTAAAGATGCAAACGAAACATCTACTATTTGCTCCCATAGGCGCTGTTAACCATTATTGCTGATCATTGTAGCTGTATCCAGTTATCTCAATATGTGCATTTCTGTTGAAGAGTAGAAAAAACAATCGAAAACTTACTGAAAACCAAGATCCCTGTTCGCTGGATAATCGGACATCATTCGGTTTATCGGCGTTTTGTAAATCCTCCAGTGCAGGCGATGAGTATCCCATACAAAAACCGAAGCTGAGAGGACCGAGGGCTGCAATGAAAGTTGCAAGAATTGTTCGGCCAACTCTGTCTTTCTCAGCGTGTCCATGGTACTGACAAGAACTCTGACGGTTGTATTCGATGAGAACGTCGGTCATTTCGAATAATTCGTTTTCGTTCAGCTGCTTGGTGTTTGTTAGACAAGAACCTTCTACCTGTTAAGGTTCGAAATTTAATAGGTGTGTGTACGAAGTGGATCCCATCCGAGGTTAAATACTCCCAGGATAACACGAACTGGACGACCTATTATGTAACTCGATTGCATAACAAGTCACTCTGTGTTTGCTTACATGATGAAGTTGGTAGATTGATGTTATGCTTAGTCACGACCCCCTACCGATAGCGTTCTCTATTGTGGGGTCAATAAACAGCCGATTTTCGGGAAATGAACTCATAAAAAGAACACGAGCCTTGCTTTAAGTGGTGAAAATCAAGTATAATCTTTCACTGGTGTCCAAAACAGAGCCTTCCTCGCGGACAAAGCTTCTTTCGTGCGTGCGTTGCGTGACATCCTGGCCAAGAATCGACTGTCAATCCCTCATACACTTTATTTGTGACATGATGTCATCGTTTCTTTTTTTAAATATCCACCTTCACGAGTGCGACGAATTGTTTAATATTATTTTTTTCCCACCACCCCCTATGGAGAAAAGTGGGAGAAAGGTGCCCTTTCTGGAACGTTTTCCCATGCGAATCTCCTATTGAGACCAAATCGGAAAAACAAAACCGTGAAACAGGAACTTGAGGAACTTTGTACAGAAGAGAATTTGAACCCGGAATTTTGGGCTTTCAGTCGTGTAGGAGCACAGGCAGCCCAAGCTCACGTCTCGAGAAAAAGCCAACGATTAATTCATGAACGCGTCACGCGTTGTGTGACTCGGTGCTAAGTTACGAGAGGAACCGTTGAAAATTTGAACACGTTATAAGGAATAGTATGGGGAACAAAATATGGTCGATTTACAACGATAAATATTTCGAAATATGAATATTTTACACGTAAAATCAATAACACTTACTCACATCCTGTGTGTCCGTTGTAGTTTCTGGCGATTTCTGCCGCTTCAAGTTTGCTTTGACATCACAGGACTGTTATTTCTTTCCTAAAATATTCATATTTCGAAATATTTATCGTTGTAAATCGACCATATTTCGTTCCTCATACTATTCCTTATAACATGTTAAAATTTTCAACGGTTCTTCTCGTAACTTAACACCGAGTCACACAACATGTGACGCGTTCATGAATAAATCGTTGGCTTTTTCTCAAGACGTGAGCTAGATTCTCTTTGAAATCTGATGTTCAACGATGGTGAATAAATTAAATTTTTCTGTCACGCAACATCTTACTTTGGCGGGTTGTTACCGAAAAAAAAAAAGAAACAATCCGAGCATTTGAAGTATAGGCGAATCTCCATAACTCGAGCCTTCTAGGGAAATTAAGAAAGGTTCGAGTTATCCGTGTTTAAGTTCTTTGTAGTTGAAAACAAAGAACCGGAAATGAGGGAAGAACGGTGTTCACTGTTTTTTCCTATTTTCAAAGTTTATATTTTAATCCAATTTGATTAAAGAGAAGTCGAGTGGAAAAAGAACACTAAGCCACTGCAGAAATATCACAACGTTACGTGAGTGATTTGGTCTGCAGTTTATTGTTTGTTTTGTTTAGTCACGTTTTGACAGACGTGGTTCGACTTTGTACGAGTCACCAGACGTGGGTAAAAATATACAAGGAATGAAGGAAAGGGAAATGGAAATTGTTTCGTGTTAGAGGGAGATTTGAGATATCGAGGGTTCGAATTATCGAGTGTAATACTGCAGCAAAAGTACACGTATGGCGGAAATCTAGGGGAAACCGAGTTTGGTTGGAGTTAGCGCGAGGTTTGAGTTAGCGAGGGTTCGAGTCATGATCGGGACTCGACCGCAAGTCCAACAGTCTCCCTAGCTTATATCTCTCTTTATTCTCACTGCATGTCCTCTTGGCGGTGTGTTTATGTTACAAGGAGGAATTATTTACCGCTGAGCCATTACTAGGAGCTCGTATGATACTGATGGTTGACAAAGGGGTAAGTTCTATAGAGTACAACGATTGAGATCAAAGGTTAAAGAAAGACGTGACTCAACAAAAAGATTACTTCTTAGTTTGATCAGTGAGAGGTGGAAACCAACAGTGCAGTTGTGTGTGAAGTGTTGGAGATGAAGTTCTGAGTATGGCTGTGTCGAGCCATACAAGGAAATTTTAATTGACCCTACCGACAAGAAGGAAAAAGTCTTCTAGCCCCCGGTTCTCGATTTCCTCAGCGCTAGCTATTTGGTTTGTCGCGCAAGAAACATTTAAATTATATTTTGGGAAGAGCGCTGCGTTAACTTCGTGATTCAAGCAGAAAGAAGTGGCAGTCATATAACGTAAAACACGCGCGTCTTTATTTGAAATCACATTCCTTCTTTAGAATTCCTTGATCATTGTGCAAGGAATATCTCACTTAAAAATATTAAATGACTTTGGCTCACCTGTGATAACTTAAGTCCGATACACCAGACTTTGTCAGTATAAGAAATGTTCAAATTCATAAATTTTACACAGTATAAATAGCCAACAATAGCAGTCTTTCAACCCGCCAGAAATTTGCTTTTGGGATAGCTATAGACAATATGCGCTTCCTTAGGACTCTTTAAAATTTCGGTCGAATTCTTTACTGATTTTCCAGGAAAATTTGTAAGTTGTTGAAGCAAAATGTACACTCTTAACGACACAAGGGTTTACGAATACAGCACATTTCGGCCAGGTGTCGCAAACCCAAACCTCATTTGAACTTAAAGGTAATGACAAAGACCTCGTACAGGCGCTTTAAGCTCTCATCTCAAGTTGATCGAAAATTAAATTATTGATTTATTCATGAAAGCGTTTTGCGTTGTAACAATTTAGAGAGCGACGTGCTTCGTTAGACGCAGTACAAGGAAAGAAATATCATCGACTGAGAACGCCATATATTATGAAATATAAACATTTCCACCTAAGACGAACAAAATTTCACTGGCTTGGACTTTCTCTGCCACCAATGTCAGGCAAAGTTTACCGCAATCCAGAAGCGCACTCCAAAGTGAATCTACCGTATTTATCTCACGAGTAAAATGCAAATTGCTTGCATTACTCTAATTTCTAAGTCGACGATCTTTCATTCCTCGAAAGTCTTCTGAAGCACTAAAATGTTCAACGTTTCCTCCGCTTAACCAACAGCGAGTTCATTTCCCGTTAAATAACATTATATACACTGACTAATACTAAATTTCCCGTTCAACGTATCAAAATGTATTTCATTTTTTCAATCGTTTCTTTTTTTTTTTGCATTATGTTTCGAAGAAGTTGCAATGTCGACCTTTTCACTACCAGAAGTGACCGAAATGAAATTTCACGCCTAGTAAAATCATACATTTTTCAAACAGAAAGGTGATGACGAAAGAGATACATCAATCGAAGAATATTGTTTGATTTAACACTAATCGAAAATTTTAAGAAATATAAGCCAGACACAGTGGAGGACTAGAATTAATATCGAAGGAATGAAATAGTTTAGTATAGTAAGTAAAAGGGACATGGGTCCCCCCTCTAGCATAGCAAATGAAATCTCAAATTTATCACTCGGAAAAATTATCCCCGTGGGGGAGGGGCTACCCTGACGGCTTTCTCCCTCCTGCGATTCTCTTTTTTTTAAACTAAAATTAGGGGGAGGGGGCCCGGGCCCCTCCCCTTGATCCGCCACTGCCTTGATTCTGGGCGGAAATGAAAACCTGAAGTCGCTTAATTACAGACGTTTATGTGACTGGGAATGGAGCGTGAAGCCTCATGTAGCTCCAATTTTTTTCCTAAAATTCTTTGCCGCTATTTTGAAAAGGATCTACTGAATGTCCATGTCCAAATCAAATTAATTTTAACTTTCAAGCAGCTGTCCGTTGCATAGGTTTTATGAAAAGTACCACGTTGATGCTTTGACAGTCAGTATTTTGGTTCTCACACGTAGCCTACAGTTTAGTTTCTGTTACGGAAATTTCGTCCAAATCTTTTCCTTCTTGCTCTTCGCCTTCAAAGTACATTTGAATCTCCTCAAGCGATTTTCCTTTCGTTTCCGGGACATAGAAGTAGACGAAAAGCACAGCGAGAAACGCGAGACTTCCAAAGAACCAGAACGTCCCCGCGATGGTGAGTCCGTCGATGAGCACGTCAAATGAAAGAGTGACAAGGAAGGAGCAAAACCAGTTGAAGAAAGTGGCAATACCACTAGCAACTCCTTTGGCTTTCACGGGGAATATCTCACTCATTATGAGCCAAGTACAGGGACCCCAAGCCATCGCAAATCCAACGATATACACGGCGATGCTTGTTACAGCCACCCACGAAATGTCAGGGCCACCATAGGCTATTTCGGTATCTGGTACGGAATTGATTGTAACGAAGAAGTAGAAACCCATACTGAAGCAGCTGACACACATTCCGACGCCACCGATTAAAAGCAAGAAGCGCCTACCACCGCGATCGATCAAGAGGATGGACACGACAGCAGCGACAAGTTGGATGATACCTATCAAGATCGATACCATGGTACTGTTGTCTTGGAAACCAGCGTTTTCGAAAATCGTGGCACAGTAGAACATGACTGCGTTGATCCCAGTACTTTGTTGGAAGAAGTGAAGGGTCATGCTGATCATAAAAGGCCGGAGAAAACTGGGTTTGGTGAACTCTTTGATTGACATCTTCTCCTTAATATCTGTTGGAATAAATTAGAATTAACTGCTGTCTTTAAACCAATATCAAAGCAACTCTACTGTTTGTAATATGCGATATCTTCACCAAGCACATAGAATTCGTCATGGCGGAAGGCTCTATCAACTTGGCAATTTTACCTTCTTGAATAAAATCTCTTTACTAACATTAATGAAATTAGTCTACTTTTAAGGGAGCCAGCTTTATCCACTCTGTTAAAATTTGAAATGCCTTTTACGTGTACCCAGTACAGCACTAAAACATTCTCACTATGGGCAGTTTTCATAAATAATCTTTCCCAGGAGACTTAATACCTCGGGTTTATAAAACAACTTTGAAGGGGTAAACTTGGATTGCGCCCATGAAGAGTTTTTCGTCTCTTAGCTTCATGCTTTCTCAGGATGACATGAATTACAGTGTATTGGTAAAATGTACATCACCAAGATAACAAGGTAACCAGATAAAATAATTTTACGTACTCAAACTATCCTTGATTTCGACAATCTCGTTCTCAATCTCAGCATATTTTCCACGAAGCCATCTTAGAGTCTTATAAGCGCGCTCTTCCTTAAGGTGAGCCAGCAACCAGCGAGCTGTTTCTGGCATAAAGAACATCAAAACAAACATACAGGCAGGAGGTCCCACTCCTGCGATGGCGGACCAACGCCAGGAGAGGGCATGGCCGATTATGTAGGATGACAAGATACCAACGACAATTCCAATTTGGTTGAATGCACCAAATGCACCCCGAAGACGACCCGGGGAAGTCTCGGAAATGTAGTTCTAAGAAGGAAAAATATGATGCTGTTAGATATCAATTAGACATAAAACATTGCTGCAAAAATGGATTGAAAATTTAACCCCTGAAGCGCCAAGGGTTTGAATGAGTGAACGAACAGATTTTGAGTCAGTTGAAGAATTGAAGAGATTGATGGATCTTACGGAATGAATGGATGAATGTCTGAACTAATGAATAAATCATGATGAATTAATGACTAGGAGTGTGATCGCATGAATGGATGAATGGATAAGTAATGGGATAGAGCGGAATTAAATCAGTCATATCCCTTCATA